ACAGTGTAACAAACTGAAATATTTGCATGTTCATAAATTCCTCTAGATGAGAGAAGGAGGACACTAAATGTCAGGGACTTAACTGCATCACATTCTAAGACACCAAGTGCCATATTAAATTCTTGTTGGCTGTGCCAGGGCTAGGCCTTCCAACGGTAGTAGGAAAAGATTAACTCTATAAGGTCCCCAAAGATAAGGCTTGCATAAGGTTTAAGCAGTTAAGAACTTATTAATGTATGCACTTTTTATTTAGTATCTTGTCAATCAGGGTGTATCTTCTTTGACTTGGAAATTGACCAGAAGAAAGTAGATCAGCATGGTAATGCAAGAGAAATAAATAGTACTTCTGTAACTTAGCCATGTGCATGTGTTAGCTTGTGACTGGATGATTCAAAGGCTAATGCAGGTGTAAAGATGTATGTTTTCAAGAGAACTTTGGATCCATGTACCATAGCATTTTCCCTATGTCAGTTGGACTGACCAGTCAAATGACAGTGCATAAAGGTTACTGTCAAACCTGCAGCAATCAGACTGGAATATGTTTCCCTGGGAGTTGCAACAGTTCTGCCTCTAGCTGATATAGTTAAGATGCTTTGAACATATTAGCATAATCAAATAAGCACCTATGGCAGCAAAGAAAGTCACTTAGTTAAGCAAAATGTCCCCTCACTCAAGTAAAATAAGCCATCTATCTGGTTCTGACCAACAGTGCAGTCAGTCAGAAGTGAGCTGCTGGGGATCAAGTAGCACAAACACCTATCTTAAGTCAGTCTTCCAAGCATTCAGAGATTTCAAGTGACTCTTGAAAACCTTCACCATATGTAATTATTGTTATTTAATTATTTATTGTTGGTGGCGCCTACAGTGTCTTAAAGGAAATATGTTTTCTACCTCAAAGAGACCTCGAAGGAGAAAGGGTTGCAGGCTTGGAAGGGGCATTGGAGGAGGGTGGAGGGAACTCCCCAGGAGGTGAAGCAAGTGAGTGGGAAAAAGAAGTAGGAAGAGCTTTCTTATATCTGGATGTAAATGGTGGTTGGGAAGCACAGCTGGGATTGACTGTAGGGTTTGCTTGGGTGGGGGTGTAGACAGGGAAGCCATAGTTGAGGGTGCAAGTGTGAGAAGGTTGGAGTTCTCAGGTTTGGGGCTGTTACTTGGGGAATAGACATTTTTTTTTCTCTCTGTGGGTTGTCTTTTTATTGTAAGCCACTTACTCTGAAGTTATTGGATATGGTGGGATATAAATCTACTGAGGCATGGCACAATGAGCACACTGGGAAACAGGAGAAAAGAAGTCAGGTTTTACAGCAACATTACTGGGATTACTTATGTCCAGAGGCTGCAATGACCTCCAGTGGGTGGACACATATATATATAGGGATCCAACTACACAGACTACAGTGTCAGGGCCAGAAAAGGGTATGATCACAGATCTTTATATGACTACATTTTCTTGGTTTGTATCATTCGTTTGTTTGCTTCCCACTATAAAAAATATATAAAATGGAAGTCAATTATAATGGATTTTCCAATAATGAAAGTCCATTGGAAGGACAATAGAATACTTGAAGACAATAGAACATCCTTACCACTACCTGAGATAAAAAGAAAAAAATACAGTTGCACTTATAAAGAACATCTCTTAAAGTGAAGGCATTCTTTGAATATAATGGTATTGTAACCACTAATTTCTGTGAGACCTGAATAAATGTATGTGCCCTAGGAGCTATTGTAGTATTAATAATATTAATATGTATTTAACAGCATTGGCCTAAGTAGGGTCTCTCTCAGCTCTTCCATGTCTCTCTAAGACACTCTCTATACATGGTTTTAAAATTTCCTAAAGTCACAGAACCCTTTTATATCACTTCTTCTGTCATGGAATGCCTACTCCTGTCCTAAAGACCAATGCAGAACCAGGGCGAACCGGCCTGTGCCTCTTGGCCCGTTTCCCTGTTAGCCCCAGTCTTTCTGCAGAACCCCTGATGACCTATCATGGAACCCCAGACTTCAGCAGGACACAGTTTGGAAAGCACTTCTCAAACCCCAGAGCCTTCAGAGTGCACAGTGTTAGAGAGTCTAAAATATTGTGCATTAATTAGGCTCTGGAGTTAGAGAAGAGTTCCTTCCCCCATGCAGCAGAAAGACAACTGGTCCCTATTTGCTTTCAATCAGCAAAGCTTGAGTGACCTTTTCCATTCACTGGGATGAGAAAATTGTTCATATATATCACAAGAGATCCACCTAGCTTCATGAATAAATTATGCCCCTCCCCTAAAGATTTCTGTAACCTACAGGGTTACAATCCTTGCTGAATACAGCATCTTGCCACATGCCTTGAGCAGCACACAAACACCAGCCAAGTTCTTTAAAAACATATACATATTGCCTTGTATTAGGCTTCTGAATTCATATTTGAGCCTAGAAATAACTAGCTAGATTTTTCAAAAACTTCTTCCATTGGGTTGAAGTATTAGCTTAGGAATCTAAGCCTAGATGCCCATTTTCTAGACCCTTGGCCTTGAGCTCAACAATTAGAAGTCTCCTCATTCCTTTGGAGGAGAGAGAATAGAACAAATAATAAAATAGGTGTGGGGCTACTGGGGAGCATTACACTTCACCCCATATGCTTTTTAAATGTTACCAGTGCAGTGTATAATGCATCCCTGTTATTACAGTAATGCATCAGAAATGTCTTATTTTTAATTCAGTGCCTACTGAGATTCACAGAGGTGCAGGTTGTAGCCATGTTGGTCTAAGGACATAGGCAGACAAAGTTCTTTGGGTGAATCTGATACCTTTTATTAGACCAACTTAAATAGTTGGAAAACAATTATAAGCAAGCTTTTGGGTTCAAAAAACCTTTGTCAGGCTAAGGAAGTTTCAGCAGTTGGTCTGTGGTCTTCCTGGATAGAAGATTCACTGCACTTTTATAAACAATATTTTATATATTTTATTTTGAATTTCCTTTACCTTGATTTTACTGAATTTTCCAGTAAGATAAAGCATATTAAGATGTCGCCTTTTATATTTGCAAAGGAGTATGAATATTTAAAGCATAGGGTGTGTGTACACATGCCCCTCCAGTGCTGTTGTTACTTTGCTGTGCCAGCAGCACATGGTTATTTTTAGCTGCTACGTCACCAGAGTGCCACACTATAGCAAGGGAGCGCATCGCTACAGTGATGTAGCTGTTGCGTCATGGTTTGTGCCCGCCGATGTCGTTCCGCATAATGCAACTAAAGTAATAGCATGATGGACTGAAAGCATATGTGGATGAAATAAACAGTTTTTAAATTTTTTTAGTGTGTGATTCTCAATATTCTTACAATTTATGTTCACTGTAAATATAACTAATAATCATAATTCATGTTGTGCATTGTGCTTTATAATTACTATGCAAACTGTCTGATAATATTATGCAATGCAAATAGGAAACCATACTCTTAGCACAAAATATGAATAGTGTTTACTTTCTTTCAGATTAGCTTTCATTTAGGTTTGTGAATTTTACAAATATGATATGACAGCCTGAAATATTACTTTTCCAGCATGGACAAATGTCAGAAAAATTATCCATCTGTGTAAAGAATGGCACCCAACTGCACTGTTGCCTCCAGTGTGATGGCCTCTGGTGTCACTCAAAGAAAAGGAAACATTTGTTTCTTTCTTGGGATTAAAGAGGTATTTGTAAATGACAGCCTCTGTTTATTGTCTGCTGTATCACTTCTTAATTCCATTTTCACTGTTTATATTCTTATTTTGTTCAAAATATTAAGGTATGCCAGTTGAAAATCTGACTTGGTAAACATTTGCATTCCCTGCTATTTAATCCATCCAGATATTGTGGTGTTCTTATTACAAAATTGCCACATAAATTAAATAAACTAGGAAGGTATTTTTTTCTACTGCATCACTAGTTTCTCCTTACAGAAAAGAATAACAATTTGTTGTTAAAAATTTGTGTTTCAAACAAGCTCAAGAATGCCCAATCAGAAATAATCACTCTCTAACATTGCCAACTCTGTACAGCTCTTACACATGAGTATCTTTGATTGCAGCTAATAACAACTTTATACAGGCTAACAGTATCATTCAGAACAGATCTCCATGCAAATTAGTCAACTATCAGATATAATCTAAACCTTATATAAACCAAGCATTGCAAGAAAAGAAGGATCTGCAGGAATTTACTATGATTAATTTATTTAATAAAAGTAATAGAATGTATATAGTGTGTTTCCATTACCAGTACTAAGCAATTAATCAATTAGCGCACACAAACCTGAATCTCAAACAGATGATGTAGATTAGTTGCAGATTATTCCTTTGCAATGATTTTTACATCTATTTCTGATTTTCTGCATATGTACCATTTCATCAGGTCACATCAAGTTACATTGTGTCAAACAGCATTTATTAACTCTGCCTAAGCCTAATCGTATGACATACCCTTCATTGCACTTTGTATAAAAAATAAACCACTATTCTTCTGATTTTCAAAATGCATGCAAATGCTCTCCTGCATGCAGCAGATATTTGGGTGACTTTCACATTTATTATATGTCAAGTAATTGCATGTCAAGAATTTCTTGACCTAAGATGTTCTTCAGCTGTCTGAAGTAACACTTTCCCTTTATTTTTTTAAATTCAGCCCACAAAAGATGGAAAGGTCAATTTTCTCCTTCTTTGAGAAGAGTGATTCCATGTGACGCAAATGGGAATTACTGATGCATATCAGTAAAATACTAGACATCCTTATGTTTGCAACAAGCCTAGGAGGTACTTGCTGTACTACTTATATTCTACCTTGTGAAAAGTAAAAGGTTAGCAAGGAGAAGCAGGCAAACTTTTCTTCCACCCTTATGAGTTCAAGTCTTATTCACGTGTACATGAGGAACAATTAAGTACCTGTAACCAAGAGTAAATTCTACTCTAAAAATGTAGCCACATCAAGAATGACATCAAAGCGAGGTGGGTAAAAGCAAAGTTGTCTGACTTACCTGATACTGTAGAGAACTTTCCCCGTTTTAGAAATCCTCAGCAGCTTGTTGTCTGTTGTAACGTCATGGAAGTTTGCACCTTTCTCATTGGCAAAGAACAAATCTGGCTTCCAAATAGAGTCCAACATGGATGGATCCAAATCCAAGGAATCATCAGGGTATTCGCTGTAAGCCAGACGTGAGTCATTCCATTGCTGTCTCAAAAAAATGTTCACTCTGTAGTCCTACAGAAATGCCATGTAAAAAAGTCACTAAATCTCCTGTCAAGATAAGGCTCATTTTAAGTGTTTTGGTACTAACAGTGCTCATTGGCTTAGTACAGCATCAATGATATAATAATGAGGGAGCTATCATTTTAAAATAGGGCAGTGCAACCAAACTAATGCAACAGATACATTTTCCAGTTGAAAAAATGATTCTCCTGATGGAGAAAATACCAACTACAACCTTAATATTAACTACAACCCTCTGTGGAGAAAACATGTGTTGATATTCAGGATCTCAGAAACATTGACGTATTACTGCTGCCTATTTCAATAAATAATTATAAAGTAAAATAAAAAGGTAGGAAAATAGCCCAAGTAATTATTTAAACTAATTATTTGCAATATGTAAATACACAGATTCTGAAGCTCCAATAGATAGTTGTTTATTCAAGTGGAGCTATGTATGTGATAGATATATTTGTACCTCTTGCTTGCATTTTTGTGGCCTTTTTGCATCTACTGTTTGTTTTTTTCTGTGTGTTCTCTGTTCCTTCCCTGTAACCTGCCTTATTAATGTAATGATAATTGCATTCTTCTTTCTAGTAGCCTGTTAGCTACAGCTGAGAAGACAGCAATTATTAGATGGTTCATTTAGAACTAACATCAATACTTTGCTAAGCAATGGTGTGGGGGAGGAAGGGAGCAGGAGGCCCCCGAAACCCCACTCCCCGGAGCTAACCAACCCAGGTTACGCCCCATGGCACAAATTGCCGGGGCGGGAACACTCACCCTACACAGGTGCGTCCAGAGAAGAGGCCCTGAGGCAGTTCCGGCCACTACAAAGGGGACGCCTAAGGCAGCTGGACCGGAGGAACCGGAAGGCAGCGGCGGCGGGGAGGAGGTCGTCGGGAGCACCCGGGCATGGAGAAAGGCAGCCGGCAGGCACGGGAGGACCTTCTGGGGCAAGGGCAAACCCCAACGGGACCTGGGAGCTGAGGAGCAACTGCCCCAATGCAGACACTGACTGCTCTAAGCTGGTGAGAACAGCTCGGCTCGGCAAGAGCCGGCGAGCAGTATTTCCTTGAATAGAGAGGCACTCGCAGCTAGGAAAGCGCTGCCGCTGCGACAGAGAGGGACCCGGGGACTTTGCAAGCCTGGGAACAAATCCTGTTTTGCAGGTGAAGCCTGAGGAGGGGTGGTATCCCCACGGCGGACAGGGAAGGACCAGGGAAGCCCATAAAAGGTACGGGCAACCTTCAGGCTCCGGGGAATCCCTGGCTGGTAGCGTTCAGTTGTTTTTTTTTCTTTGATTTTTGGACCTCGGACGTACCCTCGCGAAGAGGGGGCAAAGCAGGCGGCTGAGAGACCGCTTGGAGGTACAGGCGAGGGTGTAGGGGTGGCGGAGCCCTCAACAGCGTGAGACCCCTGGGGATATAGAAATCTCATTTGTGGACTGACACACTCCAGATTTAGTATCACTGAACCAAGAGGTCATCAAAGTTGTGGCAGGCAGTCCGGAGGTAACCAGCCCACAGACGAGCGTTGTGAAGAGGAGTACCCTGGGGACGGTCCCCTACCAAGAGGGGCAGAGGCTTCGGCACGGGGAAAAGTGATCTGCACAGGTCCCCCCCCCTTTGACAAATGGTCATTAAGAAAGTATTAAAGGAGAATTTAGGTCTTGGTCCAAGATCCACTGAAGTCAATGGAAAGACATATACAGTGTCCTCCATGTTCTTAATGCATCATTCCTACACCGTTTCTGTGCTTGGGCAATCAGGGTCTCATATGTTATGTTTTGTTTGCTGTTGTAATATTGAGCTGACTGTGAAATCAGTACATTTCATTGGCCTGAGGATACTTAGACTAATAAAAACCCATATGCTATTCATACTAAATAATTTAGTTATCAGAATACTTAAGGATATTTAAATTGATAATGTTATTTGAAGACAGAAATATACTAGTGAAAAGTAATCAAAATAATTCCATCTGCTGTATTAAAATCTTGTATTTAGGGTTTGTCCTGCAGTATGTGAAAATGGCACCAATATGCTCTTGACTTGGAAAATGTATGAGTTGACATTTGTTTAGTTAAGCCATTGAACCACCTATTCTAGAGAATTTACCATCCGTGAAATGTAAGCTAATATTCTCAGGGTGATTAGAAATGCAGTGAGCTACTTGCCAAATATATAAACTGTGATGAATAAACCCCTCCAAGCTTAAGAGTTTCCCACCGTTCATTCACTAGGCTTGTGATGAAAAATATGCTATTTATCTGACAGAAAATTTTAAACAGCTTCAAGCATAAGGACTGACAAGACTCCTAAAATATAAGACTGTTTTTCATGACCTCTTTGGGAGCATGATTTATAATTTAATTTTTGCCTATGTGTGGGTGTCAGCCAAAGCATGAGAATCAGAGGGACAAACAGTAATAAAGGACAAGTAGTGGAGAACTGAGCTCAAACAGTGCATTTGTTAGCAATTCTGAAATGAGTATGCATAGACATTTGTATAGCCAACTGCATTTTTGCAGTGGCCTGGAATTCCATGCCATTGAAGTCTAAGCAAATATTCTGAGTTCAATGTTGCCATAGCTCCTTTGCATCCCATGAGGACACAGATACAGGGTGCATCCGTTTCTCACTTTTTTATCTTAAAACATTATTTTTTTCTTACAAGATTATGTTTTAGAAATATATATGTATGTGTATGAGACAGTATCAGCCAGACAGCAACGACTCTTTTTTCATAACTGGCCCAGGAAAGAAGACTGGTAGTGGCATCAGAGACTGCTTAGAAAAAAATATTCAGTTTGCAAAGGGCTTTTCATATCTAAAATAGGACACACTGAAGTTTCATGCACGCAAAGAAATGTATTTTGTCAGAGCACTGTAATGCGTCAGTCAAATCACTTAATTCTTTCGATTTCCTGGAAATATCTATAAAAAAAAAAAAGATGTATTCAGCAGGCTTTAGTAGGCACTAATTTACACTACAAGGAACTTTTTTTGGACACAAATCTATAAAAATAATATTCAAACTCATCATTTTAGTATATTTGGAAATGCTGTCTCTGAGCATCTAAGTTTTGTTAGAAACATTATTATAATCTGCTTATCCCTAATAATTTGGCTTCTGGCTTTGATGTAAAAATAAAAGGGGGAAAGTTGTATATTACAAACTTTATAATACAGTCATGACTTTCTCTGCAGTACTTAGGCAGCATTGGGAGTAGAAAGTCGTGGGGTGCTAGGGACAAAGTAGGTTGTTTTGTCCCTAGTACCTGCAACGGTACTTGGTATAAAATTCTGTTTTTTTCTGAAATTATGCCTTTGTCTTGAAACTTTGAATATCTTTCCAGGAAGGAGTTTCTTCCAAGAAGAACATCATAATGCAGAAAATCAGACAGCAGATTTTGTATGTATCTGAAAGTATGCAGGGGTGAAAGATTCTGAAATATACAGGGCTGTTTTATGCCAACTGACGATCTGGTTCAGGAACTTTCTCCAACTGCATTCATTATTCTTATGAGAAATGTGGTCTGGAAACAAGGTCGGGAAACAAAACTTCAGCATTCTAATCCCAGCGCTGACACTGATGCCATCTGTAGCCCTAGGCAATTCATGGAAACTGCTTTCCTCAGTTTCCCACTATATAAAGGAGTAATAACACAATTTAGTATACGTAAAGGCATGTTGGGGGAATTTCTTATTTGAAGATTAAGGGTTCAGTCCACAGATACACCAAGTTTAGACCAAATGGTTGAGAAGATATGGTGACAGAAGATGGCTCTAATTTGCCTTTTGATTTCTCTACTCCTGGGTCAAGCAGAGATCAACGTGGCAACAGTCACACTTATAAGAGGTGCAGGCAGCTGCTCCACCAGCTGCAAAACTGACAGAGAAAGCCCTGTTTACAGCACCGCCTTCCTCACTCCCTTATCTGCCCCCTGCCTATATACTGGCTTTTCCTTCAAGATATCTGAGGTATGCAGTTGCCCCACCCAGCCTCAGCTGCACACAACATATGGAAAACTGTGCAAAACATATGGAAAAGGTTCTTAAAATTTCACTATGTGAGTGCACCTACATGAGATGTTTAGTGCCTAATTGGCTCCACAATAAAGTCTCTGCATCTACACATATGGCCCTATTAGGCTTCAGTAAACTAATAAATGCTGCTGTAAGTTAGTACTTGTAAATACAAGCACTATCCTGTGGCAGTGTTATTTACCGTGCAGAAACACAGATGTAGATGCTTATGGGGCAGGCTGGGGCACCTACCAGTTAGCTCCACACCGGAGCACACTTATGCCCCAGCCACCCCCTCCACAGCACACCGAGCCAGGTCAAAGCAGCCCTAGGTTGACAAGCTGATCCCCTGCCAACTAGGGATACTCCGACCCAGCTCAGCATGCCAAGCGCATGTGTAAAAGTGGCACCTGGGAGCAATAAACTCCAGTGCAACATGCACCAGAGTTTATTGCTTCATGTTAATAGTGTATGTAGACACATCCAGTGAGCTCTAAATATTAATATCTCCTGGCAAGCAGTTGTTCCATAGTTTGTTGTAGAGCTCTGAAGAGCAGAATATGCAAGTGGATGTGTACTTAGGTATCTAAGTAGTCCCACTGATATCTGTGTGCATAAACCATACTCTGCTTGTGTATGTTGCTGAACTGGGGTCTAAAGACATGTCTGTATAGCTGTCCTCCCAACTCTGCATCCCCAGCTGACCAGATAAGCACCACTCTCTTACTCATGTTAGGGTACACTAGAGACTGACAATAAGACAAAGTAGATGGTGTAGGAATGGCCCTGAATAGGTTGGAGCAGACCTGAGCAACACCCCATCAGCACTCAGGCTTTCCTGAAACAAAGAGCTGAAAATGAAGCTGGCCCAGGGGTATGCTCTTACAGGTTGCTCTGAACCATCTGCTCAGCCTGCCCATCCATTTACACCAGCAGAGTAGTTAGCCCACAGTGTCAGCTGTTGATTATAATGCATACAAG